CTTTGAACGCGCACACTTCTGAACGGAGTTGCTTCACTGTATTTTGCCATCACGGTTAGAGTTCGACTGATAGAGCTGTCAAATTTTGTCTGCTGACTCATGGGTTACTATAATTGATGCTGCATGGGTAGTTTCGTCAGTGCGGGTGAAGGTAAACCCATGAACAATCGACAATGTTTGTCTATTTTTTTAAATGCAAACGTTAGCAACTCCGCAATCTGATGCTATCATAATTTTCATCACTACTTACTACTAACTCAAGGTATCTTCCAAATAAGCTTCAAAATTGCATTTTTTTTTTTTATCAATTCTTAAATTCAGTCCTCTATATCCGTAATACGCACGCGAGGCTCAAACCTTTGTAGACTACTTTTTTAAATTAATCTACCAATAGTAGTCAAATATTAAAAATCCATCATCACCATCGTGGTGAACAAAAATAGTTTTTACAGTGCTACAATAATTATTAAAAAGTCATTATGACAGCTATCCATACAAAATAATCCGTTAGAGATAACTTCTTCAAGATACACAATTTGTCAATTCATAAAAAAAAAAATCAGTGGATAACTGTTCAAACGACAGATTTAGTGTCTTTTAAATTTTGTAAGTGTTGCTGAACATTTAAGATGTCTAGGCATCAAATTGAAAAAAATTATTCCTTTAAAATATAATGAATTTTGTGAAGTCAAGAAATGTGGTGTTATTATTTCAACCGCGTTTCTAGTATTATATCTATGAAAGTCACTTCCGCTTTCAATTCGATCACACAAATCGAGGTAGCAAACCGTTAACTACTTTAAAAATGAACACCATCAAATATAAAATTCTTTGCTTCACCGACAACCCTTGTAAGGGGTCTAGCATCAAAGTTGAGGAAGTTAATCTATTACATCTCAATATCAATATCAATATCAATTAATAGAGTGAGATAAAGATACGTAAACCAACGTTATATGTAGTATTACATTCCCTGAAAATTTAATGCCAATCGGTTGAGAGACTTATTTTTGGCGAGTACAGTCCCCAATAGGGGAGTTTGGTAAAGGAGATGATCAATCTAATTCATGCCTTTCTCAAAATTGACCAGTGCTCGCTTTCACTGCCGTACTCTAACGAAACTATCAACTCTATAGGTACTTTCATCATCTCCATATCTATCGTATAAAATGACCACTGATCCCTAAAAAATAAAAAATACACACATGTTTGGACGTCGTAAAGCTCTCTTTTATGGTTATTTTTATTAGGGATATTTGATGTTAAGCATCTCCAACTATGCAAATCGTTAACTTCACGAATGGATTAATACAAACATCATTAGTTAAAGTATATAGCTTTTTAAGTTAAAAAAAAATTGCTTCCGTTGGTTGGTTGGTTTCTTCATTTAAGAGACTAAATTTGCTTAGGATTGTCACTGTATGCTTCAAGTGCTAGAAAAATTGCACTGTATTACAATTTCATGCACGAAAACTCTGACATTCGTGCCGCCAAAAATTCCAATTGGTAAGGCAAAATAAACAAAATAGCGGCCATTTGTGGATTCCATGAACTTTCACCTTAAGAAAATAATTATATTAAACCGAATATTACACAGCAGCAACAACATATTTAACAATTCAAAAACAAAAATAAAACAACTAGTAAAAAAACAAATAGAATTAACGAAAAAAATACCTCATTCCAAATTTGAGAAGACATTTTCTTGTTTCTATTCTTTATTTCATATGTTCCTTCCATCTCTAATTTTTCCAGCCAATCTTCACTTTCTTGGATGAGGTACTCTGGGAGTAACATTTGCAATGTTTCTGTCGTCAATGCTTTTGACTTTTTTCTTTTTTTTTTAGGATTTTTCTTAATCCTTAATGAATATTTATTTAGTTTCACGTATGATAATCATTACGTTGTTTACCTGTGATTACAGGATCAGAACTAAGCAGCAATCTATTCAGTACATCCATGTTGCAAGCCTGTCTTGAGAACTTTCTGCAAATTTTTTAGCGGTATAATCTTAAATATATGTTTCTCTATTCTAATTAAATATATCTTTCTCTATTGTAATAAAATTGTATGCATAGTAGGAGTCATCGGATACCACCGATACAGATTAACGTATATCTCCGCTGTTTCTTGAGTAAATTTTCCAGACCTTTTCATATCACTTTTTAAACCCCTAGCTAGTATCTCCAATATAACTTTAAGTCGGTAGATGAAATTAAAATCAACACCTGTTATTTGAGCAGTGGTTTCAGGATCAGCAAAGAATCTTCGACTAGTGTTGCCATGATTCGAATTTACAAAGCCTGGTTTTGAAAAATCCACAAGCAGTCCCAAATTCTTTCAGAAGTTTTGTTGAATGTGTTCTTTTCTTTCTTCGGCGATATCCTTTTCATTGCCAGTTAACCGCTAATTTTTGATCGGCAACTTTTAAAAAAGATGTAAAATTGTCTCGAAAATACGAATCCTGGCATGAAAAAAGGATAATCCGAATTTAAGAGAATCTGTGTTGATTTCCTTTTTAATACAAAGATTATTGTATTCTATATAACATTTCATCGTCGGTGCCGTTTCAGTTGCAGCATTACACACACATCAATCATAGTGAACATAAAAGCACATAAAAGTATGTCTAATAGTGAACTGCTTGCTATTTCTTTTGTCGGCCTTAGCGAATTAATTGCACTTTCAATGTTTCTGATCACTTCATTAATTACCGCAGTTTATTCCTTGATAAACCTAATGCGAATTGGGCGACATTAGCGAGGTGAAGATGGAGTTGTGTTTTGCCAAACTATTTTTGCACTGGATCCACAAACTATTCTCAACGGTACAAATAAGCTTTGGAAGACACTCGTATCAGAATCCATATCGACGCGCCCTTGATGGAATTATGAAACAAACAAAAAACTTGTTTAAAAATATATCTGAAAGTCAACACCACACTCCCCCCCTCCCCATCCCCCTCACAAAACAAGGCCTTGACCACTTAGGTTACCGCAATATAATAATTGAAAATGTCAATAACTGAATTTGTGTGCATTTTTTGATAAATTCACCTATATGGACACGCCATCTTCATTTTCCAATTTCTCTTAAGATCGCAAATAATCGCAGCTGATTTTTTGCTATAATCTCCTTTACACATGTACATTAGGGTGTTTCATTTTGAAAAAAGTGATGAAATTTTGATAGGCCACCCTCCAGTTCGATTCATAGCCCCAAAATATGAACCTGTGCAAAAAATGGTAAAGATTGATGAAGGTTTAGAGGTCGCGCCAATGATTTGGATTTTGTATGGAGATTTTGGTGAATTAGTATGGGAAATTATTGATTTTCGTTTACATTGCTCTAACTTTGGTTGTAGTTGTCCAAACGTTGAAAAAAAAAAATATGTGGTTGTCATGACAATGATCAACAAGCCTGTTGTTGTTGCGATGAAATTGGCGTTGTTGCCTTGTACATATTCATCTGTCAATTTACCCTATTTTGCCATTTTTTCACATTTTTATAATTCTTGATACGCTGCAAAACTGAGCGTAGCAACTGTAGGCTTTTTGTTTATTGCCATAGCAATAACATACTAAATTTTTTCGACATTTGGACAAGTAGAAGCAGAGTTATAGCGATATAAGCGATTTTTTAAATTCTTCCATAGTAATTCCCATACAAATTTCAAATCATTGGCGCGACCTCTAAACCTTCATCAATCTTTACCAATTTTTGCACAGGTTCATATTTTGGGGCTATGAATCGAACTGGAGGGTGGCCCATCAGAAATTCATCACTTTTTTCAGAATGAAGCACCCTAATGTACATATAATGCCTCATATATGGCTTTACAGGATATTACAGGATAAGTCAACTTTTTTTAACACGATATATTTATTTTATAGTTTCAATAACACTTGAAGACAAGATTTTCATAAACTGCTTCTACGAAGTCAAAATTAAGTGAAATCAGCTGATGTAATGTAGAATAAATATTTCAATACCTGCTTGATCTCTATTCATTTTTTTTTTTTTCAAATTAATGCGATTATCCCAACAATAAGTAGAGACACGAAAACAATGGTACTGCGGAACGATTTCAAGGCAAGGCGGTCTCCGTGTGACGAATGCGCTTTTGTTGGTATTCGTCAACGTTTGAGTATCCAAGCAACATTTTCTAAATCGAAAGCGATCCTCAATTGCAAAAAATCGATTTCGTTTTGGACAAAATTATTATTTTGAATATTATCGATCCCAAAGCTAAAAACCTCGATATTTTCATCAATTCAGCATGAGGTAATAATTTTCCATCGATTTGAGTGTGAAAAACAACCAAACACGTTCTACACTGCTATTTTTGTGTGAAATGATAATAATAATTTTGCATTTGATACTGAAAATCATCCCCACCAAGATGAAGATGAATATTGATATTGACAACAACACAGGCGATAATGATTCCACGAATGTTGACTTCGAAACTTAGCGTTTACCTTCATCAAGAGAATGTTGTCATGTAAAAATTCAAATTCATGCAGGTAGTTAGTTTATATTTAAAGGTTGCCTTAATTTGCAGCTTATTTGAGTGTAGAAGAAATGATTATTATCAGCACTGGTTCTAATCTAGAAAATGACAATCATCAGAACTGTTCAAAGCGCAGCGATAATGTGCTTCAACTAGTTCGAAAGTCATTATTTACCATCGTAAACCGTACAGCAACAAAAACCAGACATATCTGCAAACACTTCCCAGCAGCATTGCACGAGAATCTCGCACGAGTCTGCACGAAATTACTCATTTTCAGGTGCAGCTAGCCCCCACCACTTCTATATATGCACGCTCTTATCGCAACTAAACCGTGCACCTGTATGTGCATCATAATTTTTCAATCAATAAACGCCGGAATAAAATATGAGAGCACACACAACCAGACCCGGGCTCTAGTTCCCTGGTGGTTGTGTCCGTCTGTGCCAAACAATTGGGAGATTAGAGTTTTCGAATTCGCCCTCACCTGAAAGTTGTCCCAATCGCTGGTGTACGCGGCCGTGTTGGAGTTCTCCCGTCGAAACTCGGAAAAGTCCAACGTCGATCCTGGGGGCAACTTATGGAGCTTCAGCGCCAGGCCCATGGTGAAAACTTCGCCTCCAAGATCCATGATGGAGATTGATGGGCACTTTGATTTACACTGCACCTAATATTTTCTTTCTTCTTTTTCTTCTTTTTTCCCAGCCTCAGTGACCTATATTTTCCACAGTGGTCCACTGTTTTCACGATTTTCCAGCACTCTTAGTCCGTGCTCATTTGGAGCGGTCCTCCATCAATTCCGGACCAAATTTTTGCACCTCGGATTCACTTTGCAAACACTATTGAAGCTATTTGATTTCCACACACGTGAAAACACCAACCGAAATCAGCTACATATTTTTTGCACTTGGATCCGAATGACCCAGTTTTGCACATTTATTTATCTATTCCAAACAAACTGTTTCAATGCCTTACTTACTACCAATTTTCACTTATTTTCTACTTTTCTTTTATTTATTAACTTCTGGTTAAGAATACTTTCCGTGCTTTTTGCAGCAATTAGCTAATTATTTCTACTTTATTTTTTTTCCTTTATGTATATCGCTAACGTGACATTTGAGATACATGTGTAATAACACGCCAAACTATCAATTTTATATAATTCCCGTTTCCGCGGACCAATCTTAAAGTCTACGGTTTTTCCAAAAAACTTTGCCAACTTTTTATTCCTTACTAACAATTCATTAATTTGTATTTCAGTAACTTCCTATGCGAGACAGACAATAAAAAAGAAGATAGTCGGACCGCAACCAGCTTCACTAGGAGAGATGGTGGCTGCCTTATTGTTTCTGCTGTTGTGCTTCATTCCGATAACGTTGCCAAACTAAAATAAAACCTGATTCTGTGTGGAAAATTAAACCGTCTGCAAGAACTTTTCCCGCTCTCGGCACACTTCTGGCAATGCCCTCGTGCTCTCACCGCGCGCGGGGCATACGACGCCATCTCCCGCACTTCTTCCGCGCAGCCACACACATATGTCCCATCCACGACCGACAGAGACTTGACTTGGCACAGGAAGCAGTCGCTCCCGGAAAAGCCTTCTCGTCTCTCCTAATTTGTCCCGAAAAAGGCAACAACAAAAAAAGGAAAACAAAGTGGGCCTCGGTTCGGGAATTTCGCTCCCAAATGCAAGCCTCCCCGAAACTGATCCCGATCGTCGTCGTCGTCGTCGTCGTCATCATCATCATCGGGCGGTCAGGATCACTCACCGAAGACGGCCACCACCGTAAATAACGGTCTCGGGTTGGCGCGCGCGTTTCTTCGTTTGTCTATTTTGCCTATTTTTTCCCTCAATCAACTCGTTCGTTGATCCGTTCTCTCCCGCTCATTACAATCCCGGTGGCTGGCGGTGGGTTGTATGCACATACCTAGTTCTGTTGCATCACTCTCACCACGGGCGGGTGGACGGAGGCGGCAGCAGGCCGATGTCCTCGATGATGGCGGTCCGAGTCCGGAAGAAGAGTTCAAAAACCTACAACTGCGTGCGCAATATTCGAACTTCGAAGAGTTGCATTCGCTCTCTTCGCTCTTTGCCTTGCTTCGCACATCACCAGGAAACGAATGCTGCTCGTTCGATCCGGCTTCCTGGAAACGCTTGCATCCAGAAGTGGAAATAAGGCACATCCTGTATGCAAATGTTGACGATCTGCTGCTGCACGGTTCGTTGGACAGGCAGATGTTTCGATGGAAAAGTTAAAATTAACTGAGGTAAAATAAATATATAATCAGCACCCAAAATTGGCCGAGTTTTAAGTCAACTTTAAAAGCACGACCATCTGGTTCAAACTATATAGATTTCCAACCAACAACATAGGGTAAATCGATAACCGTCGATAACGCCAGCGTGGACGTCTGCAATGGTAAATTCGTATTGCAAACGTTAACGCAGACGTTTTCGATGGTTAGCGATTAACCGTTACTGTACCAACGTACAAGTCAAGAAAAAAAAATTAAATTTTAAATTACTCTTACTCGGCCACATTATAACCTATTCTGGTGAAACATATTTTATTGGGCCATAAATCCCTACGGTTTGGTCAGAGAGCGTATAGGGCGTCGTTGATCATGGCACATTTCGAGTATGAGTGAGTGATTGCAGTTAGATCAAACGTGCCTGAAAAAAAAGTTGCGATAGTGAAGATATTACCACAGACAAGCAGACATAGCACTCTGCAAAAGGTTCATCGAAATCGCTTTTAACGGTCAGTATAAATGTTTCTTAGGTGGTAGTACCGCCGCCACAGGTGGTACTCAAGGCGCATAATGGTGGCGCATAATCAATTCTCTTGTTTTTGACGTTTACACACTACAGACATCTGTTGAGTGCATTGCCCATCACAGTGCATACGACAGATGGCGGTAGTGTTTACAATGAGAAATGTTCAATGTGTTGTGCCTATGATATAATATTGAGGCAACGTTAGAATAAATTCAAAACATTGCGAAATATAACGCATCACTTTCAGAAATACTTCACTTCGCAACCGATGAACCATTCTGACATATGAGTACCCAAGTAACCATATAGTCTTAATATAGCTTTGTATGTAGGGTTCAGAACTACTTCGGCCTAATCGCCCATTTTGGACCTTCATTCCTTTATTTAACGTCGGTCTCTGTTCCGCAATCTAGTGCCAATTACCGACGGGCATCGATTGCCATCCATTGACGGTAATCAAATGTGCAGGAAGGCAGCTTCCATACCTCCGTAAGATATCGCACCCATTCACGTGACGTGACCATAGTTTTTTTATGCCTCAGAAAAATCCCACCGACCTCGGCTGGGATTGAACCCAGACCCATTGGGGTGAGAAAGCAGTCACGCTTATCACTACACCACCGGCGCCGGCTACCCTTTTTGAGCCTATCGAGCAGAAAACTTCAAATAAATCCATGATTTCAGAGTTAACAAGTCAATTGTGCGATTGGTACGAAGCTTTAGTTGATAAGCTTCCGAACGAAGTCAATGAGAAAGCATGATATGAAGGTTTGCACCCATTATTCCCAAAAACAAAAGAAGCGCTCCGACTGAATCAATTTTTATCTTCATTCCATAGGCCGAAGTGAATTCATTGGCGTTTCAATGGCGTTTCAATGCGTTAGGCCGAGTTTAGAATCCTTAGGCCGAGTTTGGCGTCAAGAAGCAGTGTTAGACTTTTGACAATATCTCAACGATTGGTTTCTCTTTATCAAATCTTTTGGTACGTACGGAAAGGTTAATAATTTTGAAAGCCATCAGTAATAATAACATTCCGTTTGCTGCTTAACTGCGCAGATTAAGAAAGACTAAGTGCGGGTTGTGCCTAATAGGCCGGAAATAGTTATAAAAATAAATAGGATAGTACTTACTTTTTTTGAGTATGGTTAGCTGAGGAATCCGATGAAACCATCACTTCTTGAAACCAATCCCTTTCGTATTTCTTTCATTCTCTTTTCGCACTTTGCATATAACACAATCTCATATAGTAATCTCTACATTGATTCTTTCCGAGTGCTCGGTAGACCAGTGAGATCGACCACACCAACCAGCGAGGAAGAAGTCAACATCGAACCAGGAACGGACATAAGTGCGGATTTATCTCCCTAGGAAAACAAGATAAACCTGGAAAAGGCGGAATCATGTCACAACCAACCAAGGACGATCTACGGAATGAAATACGAAGCGTTAGAGAAAAAAGTATTTGTACTTAAGATTCCAAAAGAAGCAATCAACGGCGGCAGACTAGAGGAACATGGTGAGACCGGGCTAATTATTGTTTATAAGTTAAATATCGAAATTAAACTAAATACGTGCCAGGTTTAAAATAATATTTTCGAACCTGGAAGTCCAATATCCATTTGATAACGGTGATGCATACATGCGGGGCTTATTGTGAGTGAAAGTAACCTCGGAATGGGCGTTCTAACTTCCGGATTAAAGCTGTCGGCAATTACCACTAACGATAAATTGCAGATGGCTTTCATGGATACTATAACTGCCGGCCAGTGGGGGTTAGATTGAATACACACACATAAACATACATTATGATACACCTACTGTGAATATTCTGAATTTCTATGCAACAATACAATTATGTGTTTTAGGGTAACTCCGGAGTGATTAAAGATTTGTGCGTAATTGCATTTGTAAACAAACACGTCAAGCACCGATTTCTCGCGAATAAAAGCTCAATCTCGAAAAGTAATAACACTATGAGGTAAAGGCAAGGGGTAGGTCACTCCGCACACCAATCTTGGGTCATCCCTTTTTTCAGTGTGCCGCTATTGTGGCGGAGGTGAACCAATTGTGCCGGTCATAGAGCAAGCTGCGATTGTTTGTATAATACCCATCCCGGCAACCCGGTATTTCTGACACCTTGAATGTTTTGGTTTGAAATTGCAAGGATAAATCGGATTGAGAATGACGCAGGAAGTGGCGGGTGTGTGGAATGTTGGTGTTTTGTGTTCATAAAATAATAAAAGTACTGTGTTTTAGGGTTTTAATGCTCTCAAAAGCAAACCAGAAACCTAGCCTTTCGTGATGTGAAAAGCAACGGTCTATGAGCGGCCGAAAAGAGTTGGAACCGGTGCGGAACATTGTTGGAGACTGACTATACAGGATGATGAATATGACTTCTTTAGTTTGTTTTGTGTGAGTTGCACTTGGAGTTGCAGCATTATTATATTTTTATTTTATTTATTAAGGATGCTAATCACTCTAGAACCACCATTTCGTATTTAGATCTATAAGTGAACCGAGAAGTGAACTGCTGTTCTGAGTTCCTCTGGTATATGGAAGATGTACCTGAATATACAGTCAAACAGCACGTAATGTTGTGAACAATTTCAATGACAGTTGTCCAGCAGTGCTCCCATTTTATTTACAACAATTCAATACGTACGAGATTGTACCGAAGCTGTACCGATGGATGTGCCCAAGCTGTGCCGAATCTAATTTCGGCACAATGTGCTGAGTGACTTACCCCTTGGGTAAAGGCATGATTCCTCTATCATTTGGTATAGTTTGTTTGTGAGATTGAGCTTTTATTCAACAGAAATCAGTAATTGACGTGTTTGTTTACAGAAGCAATTATGCCCAAATCTCAAATCACTTCGGAACTGTGGACACAACCGGACAGAAAAAAGGAGTAGGCTGTGCGTGCGTTCGGAGGTGACGTTTGTTTTCTCGGTCGTGTTTGAAAATTGGGAAAAATTTAAAATTAATAATTTATGCGGTATAGTTTATCTCGTAGTTGGAGCAAATTTTTCGCAATTCGAAGATTCAGTGATTGACTGTTTAAATGAAATGGTGTCCTTCTGTGTTGAATTTATACTTGGATGCTGATCCGGTCAACAACTACCTGTAGTCGATTGCCCGGTTCTGGATCGTTAACAAAACCAAACTTCAAAATGTTGGCCAATCAACGTCCTTAACGTCCCATCGTTCGGTGCGATCATGTTGCAGAGGAAGGACTTCATTCAAGTGTTTCAAGTGCCAGAAGCTTGCAGCTGACAAACGTCAAATGGAAATCTGGAATTTAGTTAAAATTTGAGGCATTTGGGGAGATCCTTCCATTATACTATATTTTATATATTGTGTGTGGTAGGATAATTTCTCAAAAAGGGATTATACCATCTGTTTTCTGTCGACACGTCGACGTTTTTTACCTCACTCGCTTCGTTGTCGTGCGCGACAGTCTGTTTGTATTTGTACACTCATGCTCTACCGTCGTCTCCCTCACACAACAAAAACGGGAGAATAAAATTCGAGCAAAAAGAAAATTTTCAAATAACTATCATATGACATGTGTGATT